GGGGCTATAATACTCAAAACAACCGACCGGATCGTTACAACAAACTACCCACGAGTGAAAAAGGTTCAATCTTTAACTAAATTGAAAAAGTCAACAAAAGTCAAACCCGGACTCGCTTGGTCAAAATTTGAGATTCGGACCAAATTTCAATTACTCATTCACCCTCAAGCCCGGTTATGTGATTTATTTTAAAATTCGACCAGAAATCGAGGTCTAAATCTCAAGTTTTTCTAATTCCTAAATTCTAACCAAAACCTCTAATTTCTACTTTGAAATCACTTAATTTAAGGTTAAAAATCAATGGATGATTATGAAAATACATCAAAATTAGTTGAAAAGCACTTACCAATGAAGTTGAGATGAAATCTCTTCAAAAACCTCACTAGTCCAAGCTCTAGGTTTCAAAAATGATAAAAACAATGAATTCCCAACTTTGATCTTTTATTTAACTACGCATCAGATGTTCATCGTGTTCGCGAAGTACCTGCCGCATTCGCGGAGTACACAGGCCAGTTGGACTTCTTGTTCATGAGGTCTTCATCGCATTCGCGAAGGAATTTCCCCGTCAATTCTCTGCATTCGTGTCCCATGTGTCACCTTCGCGATGAAGGACTACCTGTCTTCCCCNGCGTTCACGTAGAACAACCAGCCCCAACCCCACAGTTCATTTTCGTGATCTCGGTAGTGGCTTCGCTATCGCAAAGCACTGATATACCAGCAGAAAACCAGCAACTCAACAAGTCCAAATATGGTCCGAAATTAATCTGAAACTCCCCCGAGTCCCCCGAGTCCCCCGAGCTCCAATCCGAACATGCACACAAGCTTAATAACATAATATAAACTCGCTCTCTACCTCAAAGTATCAAAATAATATCAAATAATAAGAATCGATTATCATAACTCAAGATTTCAACTTAAAAACTCATTTTTCACAATCTTACACATAATGCACCGAAACGCGCTCGGGTCACCCCCGACCCTAACCAAACGTGTGTACAAGTCCAAAAATATCATACGAACCTATCGGAATCGTCAAAATACAATCTGAGGTCGTTTACCACAAACATTGACCATGGTGAACTCTAGTTGCTTTTAAAGTCAAGAATCACATTTTCTTTGAAATTTCACGTAAAAACTTTTCGAAAAAATGACATAGACCACGCACGCAAGTCATATAATATCAAATGAATCTATGAGAGTTCTTGGAGAAAATAAAGGCTAGTACTCAATACGACCTATCGGTCATCACATTCTCCGCCTCTAAAAGAAACGTTCGTCCTCGAATGGACATAGAAAATTATCTAGACTGATAAAAAGGTGGGGGTATCTATTCCGCATATCAGACTCGGACTCCCATATAGACTCCTCAATTAGCTGACCTCTCCATTGCACTTTCATATAAGGAAAACTCTTGGATCTCAACTGTTGAACTTGCTAGTTTAGAATAGCCACCAACTCCTCCTCATAGGTCAAATTCTCATAAAGCTGGACCACGCTGAAGTCTAGAACATGTGACATGTCCTCATAATACTTCCGAAGCATAAAAATATAAAATTTCGGATGTGCCCCTACTAGGCTAGGAGACAATGCAAGTCTATAAGCAACCTCCCCAACTCTCTCCAAGATCTCGAATTGGAAATTCATTCTTTTTGCTCCAAACTTTCATATTCACTGTCCAATATACATACATTATCAATTAACACCCAAGTAAGTCTAAAGCTCAATACTCAAGCTAAGTAGGACATATACAATATAAAATACAATTAAAAAGCGAATAAAATGTAGAGTAAATAATATCAAAATATATGAAAATATGCCCAACATCAAGGTCCTAATTTTCTTAAAGCCGATTTTTGTTGTGTTGTATTTGATAATGGATAAGAGTACTTAATTGGTTATACTTAAGTTAAATGGAAGTTGATAGTGGATATCAGTGTTTTAAACGGCGTAGGTGTAAGGCGAGGCATTTTAAATATGCATCAGCGAGGCATAAGCCCCGAGGCATGGGGCATAAGCCCCATGGGTATTTAATTTTTAATATTTTATAAAATAATATAAATACATTAAATATTTATAAATAGGTAAAATTGCATAAAATTTTAAAAAAAAACTATAAATATGTGAAAAATATATATAGATGTGCTCCATCCCATAAAAAAATAGTCAAAATAATCTATTATACTCTACTTACAAGCACAAGTAACTTGAGTCGAAAAGAATAAAATTTTCTACATGGAGAAACAAAAAGGATGACTAAACTGCAATTTGAACTTTGAACTTTGAACTTTGAACTTACTGCTATGAAGGAGAATGGAGTTCTATTTGTATTTGTAAAACAAATTGATTATTCGTTACTTTTGGGAGATAGTAGCAGACTAGCGGACAAGATAAAGAATTGAGAAAGACCATAAATTAGAGCTTCAATCAATAAAAAAGGTCTTGACTTTTAAATTTAATATTTCAGTTCCTTTTTAAAACTTTTGAGTAATTACAAGGTGACATTTGAGAATTTGGGTATTATATGAAGGACTTATTCAACAAATTTTATTTTAATTTGAAAAAGTCTCTAGAGCTTACGCCTCACTACAAAAACACGCCTTAAACGCATGTGTGTACGCCCCGAATTGCTGGTCGTATGCCTCTTGAGACTTTCGCCCCACATCATCGCCTCAGGGCATTTTTGATGCGCCTCCCCCTTAGGCTCGCCCCGAAAACACATTTTAAAACACTGGTGGATATAAGTACTTAATTAGTTTGATTTGATATCAATATTTAAAAAATCAACTTACTTGGTTTGATATATTTTTAGGAAAAAATTTGTCCCAAATCAAACCATGCCATTATTATTTTTTCTTCTATATACGTAGGTACGATGGAGAAGGTATTAATCTTTTCTTTTTATAGAGAAATTGTTTAATCAATTCCTATAGATTTAAGCTTTAGTTCTCAACCTCCTTGCTTATAGAATTAATTAAAATAAAAATTTATATTTTAAAGGGCGAATTTGTTATACTATAATTTTTTAATATTAATAATAAATAGATTAAAAATAAATACTATAAATAAATTAGAATAAAAAAGGTAGGCCTAATATCTTAATGAGAGAGATCAGTATTATTAAAGCCAAATTTAAGAGAATCTCTCTAAAATTTTACTTAATAAATTTATATAAGCTTATTATGCAAAAAAAAAAAATACTTTATACAGGTGTGTAGTTTAATCTTATACTACACTAGGGGTTGATAAGATGCATTAGATAAAATAATGCATGCATTAGCTTTGTGTATTAATAATACCTTATTTGGTATACTTTTTGAATCTATGCATTAGTTATGCAAACATTAATTATACACTCGGGGGTCGTTTGGTAGGGTGTATAAGAATAGTGCGGAATAAGGTGTATTAGTAATGCATGGATTAGTAATGCATGGGTTACTAATGCAAGCATTAGTTGTGCAGATATTATTTCTTATAAACTATTTGGTGTGGTGTATTAAAAATTATAATGCATTGCATAAATTTAAAAAAAAATAGTTGTTTACAAAAATGTCTTCCATATTCTCTAGCTTTAAGGGACTTTAAGGACAATTTTGTCTTTAACCATACTAATGCATGCATTAATAGTCTTGGTATTACTAATGTCATGGTTTTCTATACATTACTTATACATAGGCTAATACCAAGTATGATGTATAACTAATGCAAGTATTAGTTATACACAGGTTGAAAAAATATACCAAACAAGGTATTAGTAATGCACAGAGCTAATGCTTGCATTATTTTTTCTAATACCTCCTACCAAACGACCCCTCAATTTGTTCTTATCTTATGCATAACTAATGCATAAGAAATTATGGCATTAACAATGCAATGGGTTTTAATGCGTGCATTAGCCTAGTTAAAGATAAAATTGTCCTTCAAAATTTATGCTTGATTAAAATATTTTATTATATTAATATAAGTTTGAAATAATCAAAGAAAGTTGGAAATAGAGTTATATCCCTAGTAAATAAATAAATACGTAGCATATTTTATTTTTTATAAATAAATATTCAATTCTATACTACAATATAGGTAGACAAATCAAATAATTTTTTTAAAAACCTTTTCATATAAAAACATTCATAATATATATTTTTTTTAAAGATAAAGTGATGGACTGGTTATTAGGGTATTTTTGTAAACAAACAATTCTTTTAGAAATTGTGCACTGCTTTAATACATCAAACCAAACAATGGATAAGAAATATGTTAGCATAATTAATGTCAGCATAACAAATACTACCATTACATACACCCTATTTAACATTATTTTTATACACTCTACCAAACGACCCCAGCAGTCTTATCATTCTTTGTAAGTAAACGATTCATGGTGAAAAAAAGAAGAAGAAAAGTTAACAATTCACATTTATCCTTAGTTATATTGTAAATGATGATGATTTTTCACTCACTTAGAGCCCGTTTGTATTAGTTGATTGTAAATAGCTGATAAGTTTGAAGTGCTGAAAAATATTTAAAAGTATTGAAACTAGTTTTTTAAATAAGCATTTACGTATTTGGATAGACGTGATGAAACTGATAATAAGCAGTTGATATGTTTGGTAGAAAAGTATTGATAAGTTGTTATCTTGTTAAAAGACTAAAATACCCTTAAATTGTTTTACAAAAGATTATGAATTAAGAAGTTTTTTTGTAGAGAAAACGATAAACAACGGATATAGAATGAAGAGAAAATTAAAAAATTTATTTTGGAAAAAATTATTTTATAAATTAAAAAATATTATTAAGGATAAACTAGTAAAAATTTTGGTCAAACTAAAAGTGTTTATAAGGTAAAAAGTTAAGTTGGGATGACTAACTTATGACTTATGGTTGATTTTAACTTATAATCATTTTGTATGTTACCAAACGCTTACAAAAGCCAAAATTTATAACCAAACAAACACTTAATTGTGTATTTTTCTTTCCTCTTTTTATTTTATTTCTTTATTTTATTGATCCTAAAACTTATGCACATTTACACAAAATCATTCCATCACACACACACAAAATCATTTCCATCGGTTAAGGATCGGAGTACAACTTTTCCGATCAGAAAATGGAGGCGACTCCCTCTAATCCTACTCATAACATCATCTCCACCGCCCCCTCTGCCGCAATCAGTATGAACGCCTCCGTCGCCAGCCACCGCAATCCGCTAAGAGTTGACTGGCCGACGGTCGACGGACCACTGGGTTTAACAGAGCAAGATTCCGTCGATTACGCGCGTAGATTCTTCAACTTTGGGTTTTTACTCCTCCCTTGGCTTTGGGCTGTCAATTGCTTCTACTTTTGGCCTGTCCTTCGTCGGCCCAACTCCCATTACCAACCCGAGCTCCGTCGCTGTAAGTCCCAGTTGACTTATCGATTATGAACTCTATGTGATTGAGAAACACTGCGTAATATTCTTTTTTTGGATTTAAGTTATATTTATTGGCAGTGTAATGGATTTGTTACACTGTGATTTAACCGGTTATAATAGGTTACTTATCATTTATTCTAGGTTATCCATCAACGTTAGTGAATATAGTTGCTTGCAAAATCCTTTTAAAGCGATCTTATTCTGTAAATGTTTTTTACACTCCGTGCATAGAACTTAAACTCTTTTTCAGAAACCCATTGGAGTAACCGTGATGTTAACGTGCTTTTTCTAGCTGCTTTAGTTCATGAATTGTACTTGCTATGTTCCGAAAAGAATGAAAGGGCTTACGAGTATAAGGGCCAACACATCTAATTTTGTGAAATAGGACATGATTTCTTAGGTGTTGTTCAGACAAAATTTACATATTCCAAAAATACTTAGATCAAAATTCATAGGTAAAAAGAATTTGAAACAATGTATTTAGAAAAAACATTGTTTGACTCTGCAGGTAAAATTTGCACAAATTAATTCGGACAGAAAGAGAACTTATTTGCTTTCAATGTTTTGATGAGTGTGTACTCAGAGGAGCGAATCCATTACTTAAACTTGATAGGTTCGGATTTTAAGATTCTTAGCACTTAACTCATTTTACTAATAAAATTATGAGTTCAAATATAATATTCGTTGAAATTTTGATGGGTTTTGATCTATGCTCCGCATTAAAGTATTGGGTTCGGATGAACTAGGTTCTTATGAGCCTGTGTGTACTATTTTCTTTTGGAGGGGAGGGGACTAATTTGGCCAGCTTTGGCATTAAGTTACTGAAAGGAAACACGTCCTGTTTGTTTTGTTTTATTTTGTTTTGTTTTGTGTTTGCTAAGCTTGATCTAATAGTTGTTTGGATCAGTGCTGGGATAGTGAAGACAAATCTTACCCCGTCCGGATCACAATTTGAATCTTTTCATGTTCTGTTAATTCCTGCTTCTATTTTTGTGTCTTGAATTGCAAGTTTTGTCGAATCTTTCACTTTGTTCTCGGATTAGTATTATATGAGAAAATGAACTTATTATTGGTAATTTCTTCTGTGAAACGGTTTGGCTAGTTGTCCAATAGTCTGGTGTGGTGGATATGTGATAGCGTTGTGTTGATATGGTACTTGTTGAATTGCATTGTTGAGGCAATAGATGCTTAGATGGTCCAAATTTGAGTTAAACGCCTATAGCTCAATAGATTTAGGAAGCTTGTTGAACAGGGTGAGAAGTTCACAACCTATGAGGTTCGCAGGCAGGGGGTGGAGTTGCTGAAAAGGGGTCCTAAGTTTTATCAGGTACTAGAATAATGTGCATGAAACCTAGAGCTTCAAATTGGTTAAGCTGTAGAAACTTAAAATCAATTTCTTTGGTAATGAAATCAATGTTAAGAGTGATGACCATTAAGAACTTGATATTCAAGAAACACAAACCAAATGCCATTCGTGTTTTAGAGTTGACTTCTTTGTTTAAATGTAGAGAGTTTTACAGCTGTATCTGCACTATGTTTAGTCGGATGATAGAACATTTTCCAGATGTTATATAAGATTGTCATGTTTTCCATGTAAACGAATTATTTAGTTGGATCAAGAAGCATTTTCCAGATGTTATAAGTTATACCATATCGGTTCCTAGGATGGTTAGGCAGCTCTCAGAGCACAAGTTTGCGAAGCAAAACACTGGTAACCGGGGCTTTAACTTATCAGTGTATGTGAAGCGTTTTAAGTATAATTACTTTTATGAGAAATGTGAAATAGATTAGTTAAATATAGCATGTTTGAGAAAGCTTGGATTGAATTGCGGTTAGGAAATAATTCTTTTTGGGTCAAGTGGCTTTATAGCTCATTACACAAGTTGTAATTAATGCATCATTCGGGTTGTAACTTCCCCAGCATTTCCTTTATGCTGGTATTATGAACAAAAGTTATACTTTACCGAAACAAATATTTTTGGGATTAAGTGTGTGATAAGTTGATAGACGGTTTTATGTATTTGGAAATCCATAAACCATTTTTCACCTTAAACAAATCTAACTTAGAATTGTTTTGCCAATTTATAAGAATCACAAAGAAAGAAACTAATTTTTTTCCCTCATTTTGTTTGTAATATTTTACCAACAATATAATAATACATTGTGCATATATAGATAGATCTATATACATACAGAGAAATCATAGAATTACCATATGTTGTAAACGGAAGCAACTAAATATCATAAACGAAAGTAGGCTAAATATCATGATTCTTTCATAGGTCTTCTAATTAGAAATAAAACAAGGTTTTGGTCGTTTCAATTTCCATGAAAGAACAAAGCAGCGAAAGCTGGCATTAAATGTTGCCTCAAATTGAGATTATCCACAAGAAATTAATATTGACCATTAGGAGTAATGAATGTGCGTAATTTGATTTCTTATTTTTTGTGAAGGATCGGATGTTTAATAACTAATGGTCAACCACCGACTAATATTACCTTATCAATTTCGGGCTAATTTCACCAACTGGGTGTTCCCTAAAAAAATAGGTCTTAATATTAAAAAAATTAAAGGAGAGAGGATTTAAAATAAAAATGGCCAAAAAAATGATTTCCCGGTGAGATTTTATGTTGTCCATGTGGGTTAGTGATTGGATTGGGTAAGTTAGAAAATCGGGTATTTTTGGGGGGTATTTTGAACCGATAGATGGACGGAGGGTATATTTAGCCCTGACCAATAGTTCAGGGGCAGTTTTGGCCCTGTTCCATTTATTTAATTGGATGGGACCGGTAATAAAATGACATGTGGAATTTAAATAAATTATTTTTTAATTCAAGTTGACCGTTAGTCATAAGGGCAGAAATGAGCCGAAAAGATAACGTTGGGGGCATTTTTTGACCGATAGGGAGCAATTTTGGCCCTTTTCCGTTTATATATGCGAAAATGAGAGCCTTCTTTGCAGTTCTTTATATGTTGGTTGCTTGGCATACAATATTGAGAATCCTAAGGGGTCGTTTGGTTTGGAGATGGGGGTAGTAGTTACGCAGGGATTAGTTATGCAGATATAAGTTATGCAGGGATTAGTTGTGAAGGGATTACTATACAAGGATTAATTCTTTTTGAATATTTGATTTATTGTATTAAAAACTAATACACGTTATGGTGAGTATTCCACCAGGCATCAAGAATCCCATTGAAGCCTATGACTGGCTTCCATGAATTTCAATATCAAATGTCTGTCCTATGAGAATTCATTTGACAACACTTGGAATTACCTGTCAAATTCTCATTCCTTAATTCCTTGCCTGGAAAATGCAGAAACGTATAAAGGAAGGGAAAATAAAAGATCTTCCTATATCCAATTTTATTTCTGAACTTCTCATAAACCAAACAAGTGAAAGAATGGCGAGCTGAAATTCTCATTCCTTGATGGGGGGTAATTTGTCATTTATTAGTTTAATCAATGTATTATTTAATACACGTATTCTTATTCCACATTCTACCCCGCATAAGATTGTATATAGATTCCCTCATTATTTTATGCTAGTATTATGTATAAGGAGGGGTAAAATCTAACCAAACATTGTGTAAGTTGTGGCAAAATTTTGTACGGAAATCAAAACACCAACCAAACATTGTATAAGTTGTGCAAGGTTTTATACGGAGATAACATCAACCAAATACTGTATTAAGTTATACTGGATTTTATACATGGATTAACTCTTTTAGAAGCCAACCAAATGACCCCGAAGTGTTCAAATTCCATGTAGTTAGAGGAATGAGATGGTAAGAGATGACAATTACTTTCGCAAGCTGGCCCAGGGGCCACTCTTACCTAAAGGAAAAGGAGATGACAGTTACCTTGTTGTCTGTTCTAGTTTTTAGTGCTGCTTTTGTTCCTAAGAGTTAACTCATAACTGTACCGGAGGTGGATAGGAATTCTTTTTTATTCTTCCACTATTAGAAGTGGTGGATATGCCATGTCAACAACATATCTCCAATTCAAGTGCAAATAAGGAATGGACTGTGGTGACAGAATACTCGAAAGAATAAAGTCTAATTTTTTTTCCCAGAAGTGTGTCATGTCCGTTTTGTAACTCAAGATCTTTTATTGTGCAAATGTGTATTTAACAACTATTAACTCCCCTTGGTCAAAAAAAAAAAAAAAAAAAAAAAAGGCCC